CTTTGGTGCCCATCCTGGAACTAGCTCTTGTAGACCAGGTTAGGCCTCGAACTCACAGAGATCTGCCTGTCTCTGCCTCCCGAGTGCTGGGATTAAAGGCGTACACCACCACTGCCCAGCCTCTTCAGCAATATCTATGATAAAATTCCTAGGAGGGGTGGTCTTGGGTACTGCTAGGGGTGGGTTGGGGACTTTTGAGTATTCTTCTGAATCCCCAAGGGAAGGAGGGAGGCTCTGATGGCGCCCTGGGCAAAGTGGTTTGAGAGTGGAGAGAGAGGCTGCCCAGGGAGAGAGGGGTGGGAGATGAGCTGAGCCTGAGGCTGGGATGGTAGCCATGAAGGAGAAGGGCAGAGAAGGGTTTCCCTCAGGGTCCTCATAAGACGCTCATACCTGCACTGGCAACAACACACTAGCTGTTCTTCTACCATGCACCCAGCCTGCCTGGCCCAGTGGTGACATTGAAGGGACTGGGCTATATATAAGATGGGGAGAGTGGGCTATAAGCTCTCTCTCTAAGCTCCACCTCGGGGACACTCAGCTGAAGAGCTGCAGAGTCTGAATTTAGTCCTGTCTCTTTCTGCACTACTGAAGGGTTGGCAGGTGGTGGCCCACACCTCTAATCCAGCACTTGGGAGGCACAGGCAGGCGGCAGATCTCTGAGTTTGAGGTCAGCCTGGTCTACAAATTGAGTTCCAGGACAACCAGGCCTTCACAGAGACACCCTGTCTTAGGAAGAGAGAGAGAGAGAGAGAGAGAGAGAGAGAGAGAGAGAGAGAGAGAGAGATTCCCTAAATAGGCTCCGGGGATCTCCCAGCACCTTCAACTACACCAGCGCATACAGAGCACGCACCCCAAATCAGGGCTTCCAGGGCGGCTCTCTATGTCCAGTTTAGGGAATGTGCATGTATGTAAATGTAATGTATGTAAATGTCTGGTGATAAGCACAGCTTCCTATGGCCTACTTTTGCAGCTTTCCTGGTGTAGCCCCTCCCCCAAAGGCTGTAGAGGCCCCGCCCCTTCTCTCCCCTGCCTCCACCCCCCCCTCCACTCTGCGGGGCAATGAAGAAAACAGGAGTTAGTGTGGAACTGTGATGTGGCTGGTTGGGGGGGGGGACTCCCCATCCCAGAGGGGTTGACCTCAGCCTGTGAGGAATGTGCACGAGGGAGGGAGGGAAGGCAGGGGTGGAGCCAGCAGGGGGAGGGCCACAGCTAAAGGCCCAAAGCTCTTTTTTTTTTTTTGAGACAGAATTTCTCTGTAGTTTTGGAGCCTGACCTTGAACTAGCTCTTGTAGACGAGGCTGGCCTCGAACACACAGAGATCCACCTGTCCGTGCCTCCTGACTGCTGGGATTAAAGGCGTGCACCGCCACCTCCCGCTAGGTCCAAAGCTCTTGGTGGCCCCTCCTGCCGCTCCTCCACCTCAGCTCTGACGTGGCCCACTGAAGGGAAGGGCAACAGGCAAGAAAGGGAGGAACTTATCTTCCCAAAAGGTGGGCTAGGGCTCTCCTGGACATGGAGACCAGACTTGGGGTTTATGGGTGGGGAATGTCCTGTCAGTCCCTTGCCTTTTTCACAGACTGAGGCTAAGTGTAGTTCTGTCAGGAAGCTAGGCTTCAGGAGGCTCTTCATGGCTGTGCCTTACCACCTCCTGGTACCAAACCTCAGTCCTCACAGTCACGTGATATGGTGCCTACGTGGCCGGTAACATGGAGCCGCCAGCTTTGATTGCAAAAGCAGGTGTGAGTGAGGAGCCTGGGATCCCAGGAGCCCAGGGCACTGGGCACGTGCATGCGTGCGCGCGCAGCTGTCATCAGAAGGTGTGCTGTAGCAGCCGTACTGCGGGCAGCCCAAGCGGGGTGCAAAGGAGTAGGTTCAATGGCGGGGGGGTGGGGGGGTGGGGGGGGCGAATCCGGTTATTTCCCAAAGGAAAAGCCACGGCCATGGCAGGCTGTGCAGTCGGTGGGCAACCCACAGGAAGAACCCAGGCAGACCTGTGCTCGTGGATGTCCCAGGGCAGGGGTGTAAGCAGGACCCCAACTGCCTCTCTGGGTTTCAGACCCAGGCCAGGATGGCCTTATTCCAGAGTCTTGAGGAGTCTGATTGTGACACCTGGATACCAACACCTGAAGTGCTGCCTCTAAGGGACCACCCACCACCAGCCTGGCATGATGAACCCCGGGGTCGTGGGAAGAACCTACTGCCCATCCATCCCTTCCTCTTCTGCAGGAACGAGCCACCTGCCCTGAGTGAGCCAGAGACATGTCATTCCCTTGAACTGGAGGCAGTCTGGGCAGACTGGGGACACAGCAGGGGTGGGTAGGGGCCTCAAAGGCACTTGCTGATCTTGGCTGCTTGGTGAAAAATTGTAAACAGCCAAAGAATGTTGTTTGCTTGCATGAGGCCAGAGGAAGCTGCCCTGGTCCATGGGGAGAGGCAGCCAGCCCAGGAACAGGGCAAGGCCTCATCCTAGAAGCCTTGAGTTCCTCCAGGCGCCCTCCTAAACCCCTCTAGTTTCTCCCGCTGCTGCTAGACAGGCAGGCCGGGAACACTGGGTCCTGAGGCAAGGCCTCAGAGCAGACTCCCGGAAAGATAAGTCTCCCCTTATCTCTGTCTGTGTCCCCTTATCTCTGACTGGCTGACACCGGGCAGTTTGTAGCAAAACTGTACAGTTGAAGTGTCCGGCTCCTGTGACAGACAGCCGAGGCTGGAGGTCTCTGACACTGAGATCCTGCTGTCAGCCTTGGGGAGACCTTGAAAGTGTCCCTAAGAGTACAAACAGGGAGTGCTTTCCAGAGCAGCTACAGGACAAGATCCCAGGTACCTCCCCACCTGGACACCAAAGTCAAGAGTAGGGAGGAGTCTGTCCCGAACTGTCTGCCTTACCCCTGGCTCAGCAGAGGTAGGAGGAGCAGGAGCTGAAGGCCATCCTTGACTACCTAGCAAACTGGAAGCCAGCCCAGGCTACATGAGACTCTGCCTTCAAACAAACAAAAATAATTCTACAGAAACCTCCCTCAGGTGCCCAGCTCTGGCCTTGATGGGCAGGGAAGTCTTCCCAGCTTGGAAGAGAGGCTGGAGTCCATAGTACTCCACCTCCCAGCAGTCTGCCCCTAGCTCCAGCCTAGCTGGGCTCTCAGGATGAGCCCACACACTCACACTCGGCAGAAGTGAGATTTACTGCATCTCCCCCGCCCCCCATCTCTTTTTCCTGCGTGGCTGTCATCACCACTGAGGGCCAGACAGCTGAAGTTTTAAGAGGTCCAATTGGTAAGGAAGCCACTGGGGCTGGGGCCCAGGAGAGGGGAGGAGAGTGCCTTCCCTGACCTCTGACCCACCTATTACAGCCAGCTCCCGGAATCTGAGGTTGCTGCCGAGTGTCCAGACATCCCTTGGCTGTGGAGGGACAGGTGAGGACTGGACTGCCTGCTCTACCGTTCCTTCTGCCGCCTGCACAAGAACTGTCTGTCAGGGAGGGTCTCTGCCGGTTCTACCTGCTTTGTCTTAGCTGATTGCCAGGTTTCTGGGACTACTATCTGGGGCACCCTTCACCTTGGGATCCAGCAGGAGAGGGCCACCTCTACCTGCCTGAACCTTGTTCCCATTCCACTCGTGAGGGGCCACCATCTCCAGCCAGTCCCAGCTGCCTGTGCCGGTCACCCGATCCACCCTGTAGCCCTGCAAACTTTATGGTATTCTGGGAGGTGGCTGGCCTGGTGGGGGCGGGGGCTTCTGCTTAAAGGAGCCGTCAGAGGGTGCCCTGTGGGCCCTAGCCTGCTCCCCTTCTCCAGGAAAGAGGGGTTAAGGTGGGAGACCCCTTTGCAGAGTTCTTGGAGGAGTGCGGAAAGGCAGCCCACGTCAGCTTCATAGACTTCCTGACCCTGAGAAGAGGCAGAGGCAAGTGTCAGCAAATCAAAGGAGAGAGACAGGGGTACTGGCCTGGGAGGGGTCTAGAAGCTGGTGAGGTGGGTAGAGACTAGAGGGAGGAGAGGTCTGTGACCTTGGACCCTGGGCCCAACCTGTCCTGCCTGCTCCAGTAAAGGAGGGTGGCCATAGCAGCCAGAACCTAGCTTCACCTGAGAGTGACAGGCAAGATGTCTGGTTCAGTGGAGAGGCTCAAAGACAGGAAAACTAAGACCTGGAATTGGAAGGGACTTGGAGGACAAATAATTGTTCTACCTGGAGCATAAAGTGAGCCAGAGGGGTCACCTTGCTCCTCTCTCGGGTTCCCCCATCAGGCTGCAGAGAGGAAACAATAGTGGCGGGGGGGGGGGGGGGGCTGCTGAATGGGTCTGGGTGGGGGTCCTGGGAAGAACAGGTCCCACTTGTATGTTAGAGTCAAAGGGAGTGATTGACCCTGCTTTTGTATTCCCTTGCATGTCCACTATGCATGTCCACACATCAGCCCATGCACAGATGTGACTCATGTTCCAAACAGGCATATTTTATGCTGGTACACGCGGAATAGATTCACACACAGTGCCGCATCTGTGTATGCACATTTGTGCACCTGATGTGTCTATACAGGTGTGGCATGTGTTTGCTCATAGACATTTATACATATGCATGCGTTCACACTGCTCATGTACGCATGTTCAGGAAGGGACCCTCGGAAACTTGTTCATATCCCTCGGCAGCCACAGCCTTGCTCCAGTCCCCAAGTCCCTCTGCATCTCCCTCCCCATCAGTGGGTGCACAGCCACCTCTAGAGGCCTCAGCCCCTCCTGCCATTCTCCCTTCATCAGCTGTTTTGCTCATTGCACTTGGTGCCCTCTGAAATAACCACAAGGTCTGACTTCTTGTTGGCCCTTTGCCCTTTACTGCCTGGGGACCTTGTCTGTGCCGGCAGTATCCTCGTCCCTGCCCCAGGCTGGCATGTAGTGGGTGCGTAGTGTTTGTGAATTAATGTTTGTGAGTGTGTGTAGAGGAGGGGAGGTTACTGAGGAGGGTGACGTGGTGGGGCGGGTGCCTACCAATGCAGGGTGACCCTGAGGGTGTGCCCGGTGTGGGTGTGTCTCTGATTGTGGCCAGGCGGGGCACCCTTGGTGGAGAGGAAATGGTATGCGAGCCCCCAGCCTCTTTCCCTAGGGGCTGTAATCTGATCCCTTGGGACTCCCCCATGCCCTCCCGCCCTTACCCTCTCTGCCTTGCTGCCGACTCTTTTCCAGATCCTGGGGCAGAGTCCAGGGCAGCTGAAGGCTCCTCCACACACGCCTGCTGAACCCTGAGCGCCCTGAGCTGCCGGCATGGGGCGGGCCGAGGCCGCCGCCATGATCCCAGGCCTGGCCCTTCTCTGGGCAGCAGGGCTGGGGGACGCTGCCCCTAACCTTCCACGCCTTCGGCTCTCCTTTCAAGGTAGGTGCACCTGGCAGATTGAGGGCCGGCTTGAGGTGAACAGGAAAAGGGCCCAGTGTGGAAAGACTTGCTGGTACCAGCATATGCATGCCCATCACTGGACACTTGCTGGTTGGGGGCGTTCTTAGGCCACCTCCAGTTCTAGCCTCAGGCCCAAACCTCTCTGCCTACATTCTCCTCATGTTTTCCCAAGGAGAACCCCTACTGTCTCCATAGCAACAGTCCTTGTCTCTGTTTCATTCCCCATCCCAAGGCAAGCCATGCCTTTTTGAAGGGAAGTCAAGGTTCTGGGGCCAGCAGAGCCCCTCCTTATTTTACCCCTTGCCCAGAGGGTGGGCTCTGAGCAGTGGCATTTGGTGGCCAACGGCTGAATCCAAGCTGGTAACAGGGGGACTGGGAAGCCTGACTTGTTAGGGATGGAATTCTGCCTTTCCCTTCTTCCTACCCGCTCTGCCTCTCCTAGACCCTGGGTCTATGAGCCTGACCTCCCAGCATGGCAATCCGCTTGTCTGTACATGTTTTCCTAAATCTTCTCTCTCCTTACCGGGCGCTGCACCACTTACCCTGTGACTCTATACCTGGGTGGGCCAATCTTCATATACATAAGCTAACATGCATGTAAGTGTCTATGTGTGTGTTTTGGGTCACACAAATAACCTTGGTCTGTAGACAGACAACCAGGCAGGGCCTTGAGGATGTTCCTGTCATGACAGGCAGGCAAGTACTCGGTGTATCTCTCCCTGCAGAGTTACAGGCCCAGCATGGTGTCCGAACCTTCAGACTGGAGCGCACCTGCTGTTATGAAGCCTTACTGGTGGATGAGGAGCGCGGGCGCCTGTTTGTGGGTGCTGAGAACCACGTGGCTTCCCTCAGCCTCGATAACATCAGCAAGCGAGCCAAGAAGGTGCCCGGGACCCCTCATCTTACCCAACTTAAGTGCTACCCCAGGGCAAAGCCTTAGAACCCTACTCCAGACTGTCTAGACCCTAGACTCTAGAGAAAGCCAAAGGGGTGGGCAACTGGATGGAGAAATCCCCCAAATAAAGAACATCCCAGGTCCCTAACCTGTGTTCCCGCCCTATAGCTGGCCTGGCCGGCCCCTGTGGAATGGCGCGAAGAGTGCAACTGGGCAGGGAAGGACATTGGTGTGAGTGTGGGCTACTAAACGGGGAGCATGCGGAGGAGGGTGGGGGATGGGGAGGCCCTCACCCCAGGGTTGAGAGAGAGGCTAGCCTGTTATGGCTAGGGTAAAGGCAGGGAGGTCAAGGCTGGTGAGGTCTGGAGGTGGTGAGTCAGGGTTGTTCTTCTTGGGGGCATCTGAGTCACGGGGTGGGGGGGGCTGTGCATATGTATACTTCCTCATGTCGCCACCCTGTGAAGACAGGCAGGACTTGTCAGATAGCAGGGCACTGGGTCCCTGAGGTCCCTGTGGTCCCTGAGGTCCCTGTTAGTGCTTCCCTGGGCTGAACTGTAACCCCTGAGGGCTGTCTCCCTGGGGAAAGCCTGATTGCCTCCTCCTGCCCCACCCCTCTCCCACCTGCCTACCAGACGGAGTGCATGAACTTTGTAAAGCTGCTGCACACCTATAACCACACACACCTGCTGGCCTGTGGCACCGGGGCCTTCCACCCAACCTGTGCCTTTGTGGAAGTGGGCCACCGGCTGGAGGTAAAACCAGGACTTGACAGCAGGGAAGCAGGGGTCATTGTGAAGGACCTGGTATTAACAGTCCCACCCCCACCTCCCAGGAACCCATGCTCAGACTGGACCTGAAAAAACTCGAGGATGGCAAGGGAAAGAGCCCTTATGACCCGAGGCACCGCGCTGCCTCCGTGCTGGTGGGTGAGTCCAAAGGCTGGCACCCAGTGCAACTCTAGACCCCCTTGGAAATCCTAGAACTTCATATGTCCCAAGGGCACCCCCTCAGATACCCTATAGCCTTGACTTTCTGAGCACCCCCAGAACTCCCTAGGCAACTTTTACTTCAATAGTTTGCAGCTGACTGAACACCCCCTTGCCCTGTCTGCAGGGGAAGAACTGTACTCCGGGGTGGCAGCGGACCTCATGGGCCGGGACTTTACCATCTTTCGCAGCCTGGGCCAGAATCCGAGTCTCCGAACAGAACCCCATGATTCCCGCTGGCTCAACGGTGAGAAGCTTAGTGGGAGCCCCTGGGAGGAAACTGCCATCCTCCACAGGGAAGGCGGCACACAACAAAACAGTAAGAGAGCGATGGGCGAAGACTCTCCAAGTGTGTACAAAATCAGGCCCTGTGCCAGGGTCACAGAGCCGGGCAAGCACCTTTGAGCCCATGAGTCTCAGAACAAGCACATAATGACATAAATTCCGGTGACCATGACGCCCCTGGAAAGTAAAGGGAAAGGAGTTTGGGTTGAGGAGAGGAAGTAGTTTGCTGGGAAGAGGTACGAGTTATTAACAGCTTCCAGAACACAAGAAAACCAGCTAACGGAATTGGAAGAGCATTCCAGATAAGGGGAATGACTAGCACAAAGGCCCTGGGGCCAGCAGAGAAACAAACTCAGGGAACTAGTATCGATAGGAGTCCTTTACTATGGGACAGTAGGAGGAACGGAAGGAGGAAGAGGGAGTATTTGATCTGGTAGGGAGGAAGAGTTTATGAATGAAGGTGAAAAACAGATACCCCATCTCCGTCTTTTCCTGACACATGTAAGAAAGTGTGACATGATCAGAAGCCCTGTAAAGGGGAGAGGGACAGCCCGCTTGTGCTTGTAGCTATGGTCTCTACTGCCGCCTCGTGGCTGCTTCTTGCCTTGCAGCTGCTGATCATAGGGTCTTGGAGTTGCAGGAGTCTGCTGATGGGTTAAATATTGGGGCCAGGACTAGGACCTGCTGATACCATGCCTCCTGTTTGGTCTAGAACCCAAGTTTGTCAAGGTCTTTTGGATCCCAGAGAGCGAGAACCCTGACGATGATAAAATCTATTTCTTCTTCCGTGAGTCTGCGGTGGAAGCAGCACCCGCAATGGGACGAATGACTGTGTCCCGCGTTGGCCAGATCTGCAGGGTAAAGAGACACTGGGCCCTTCGCTCCCTGGCTACCTTTGCCCCAACCCTTTGCCTTCAATGGTCTTGTGCTCATCCCTTCCGATCCTGTGAACAGAATGACCTGGGTGGCCAGCGCAGCTTGGTCAACAAATGGACCACATTTCTGAAGGCGAGGCTTGTGTGCTCAGTACCTGGAGTTGAGGGTGACACCCATTTTGACCAACTTCGTGAGTGTCTTAAATGAGGGATGGCATCAGGGGAGGAGCCGAGGGTGCAGAATCCAGGAGCCTGGGGGTGGTGTGTACTGCCCTGCCAACCTTCCCTTTTCTTACAGAGGACGTGTTTCTTTTGACCTCCCGGGACCGCCAGACACCACTTCTCTATGCCGTCTTCTCCACTTCCAGGTGAGGGGCCGGAAGTGGGAGTTCCCTTGGGCAGTCAGATTGGCTTGCGGGCGCTCATTTCGTTCTCTTCATCGCTCGTAGTGGCGTCTTCCAGGGCTCCGCTGTGTGCGTGTATAGCATGAATGACGTGCGCCGAGCCTTCTTGGGACCCTTTGCTCACAAGGAGGGGCCTACACACCAGTGGGTGTCCTACCAGGGTCGTGTCCCCTACCCACGACCTGGCATGGTGCGTTGCTAGGGACTGCTCTTGCAACAATCAGCTTCGAAGTCTCAAGGGTAGAGAACTTGACTTTGGCCTGGGGGTTTTGTCGGGGGGGTCCGATTTCTTCCTTCTGGTATGGGTGGAGAAATGTCGCCCCCATACGACAGAACTGCAGAGTGAGACCATGTGCCCTCTCAGCCTAAGGTTCACGGGGAAAGGCTCTTTCTTGTCCCTTTTCACCTTTCCTGTTCCCGGAGGCTCTGAATGAAGGGGCTGACCACAAAATCCTAAGTGTGTATCTCTGCTTGACGTGCCTTGCCTTCCCTAGTGCCCCAGCAAGACCTTTGGCACCTTCAGTTCCACCAAGGACTTCCCAGATGATGTTATCCAGTTTGCTCGGAACCACCCTCTCATGTACAACCCAGTCCTGCCCGTGGGGGGGCGCCCTCTCTTCCTCCAAGTGGGAGCTGGGTACACCTTCACCCAGATCGCTGCAGACCGCGTAGCAGCTGCCGATGGACACTACGATGTTCTCTTCATTGGTACAGGTCAGGGTCTCATCACAATAGCCCCCCCCCCCATAGAGCCCCCTCCAGGGTCCTTGGCTTGAAGGTAGAAGTTGTGCCAATTAGTCTAATTTCTACATCTCTGTCCGGGCTATGGCCCCACTTTCTAAAGGCGGCCCTGGCTATTCTAACTTACAATTTTCACTTTTTCATGCCCTAACCACGATGAAGGTGGAGACAGTGCGTGCACGTGCATGCAGACACACACACACACACACACACACACACACACACACACACTCATGCACATGTGCATGGATATACCAGGCTTTTTTCTTTTTCTTTTAGGTCACCACCAGCTCCCAAATCATGACACAGGGACTTGTAGGGACTTGCTAGAGTTTTGCATGCTCAGCCTAGCTTAGATTTGTTTTTGGCTAGCTCTTAAATTAACCTGTTTCTCTCAATCTGTATTTTGCCTCGGGGCTTTTCACCTTTCTGTGTGTCCTACTCTGTGTCTGTTGGCTGACATCTCCCCCCTCTCTCCTCATTCTCTCGTTCATCTGTTGATTCTCTCTGCCTGCCTGTCCTATTCTGTCCTAGCTACTGGCCATTTAGCTTTTTGTTTTTTATTGTCTTTAAAGATTTATTATTATGTATACAACATTTTGCCTCCATGTATGTCCCCACACCATGGGAGAGCTCCAGATCTCATTACAGGTGGTTGTGAGCCACCATGTGGTTGCTGGGAATTGAACTCAGGACCTCTGGAAGAGCAGCCAGTGCTCTTAACCTCTGAGCCATCTCTCCAGCCCCCCATTCAGCTTTTTATCAGGTGCCTTAGGCTGGCAAGGTGCAACAGCAAACACATCTTTACATAATTAAACAATGTAACACACCTTTGCCCAGTTAAAATAATACCCACAGCACTCAGGTGGGCACTGCACCTGCTTGTCAGGGAAAAGCAAGTCCCCCCTCTTCTCATTTCCACAGATGTGGGCACAGTGCTGAAAGTGATCTCAGTCCCCAAGGGCAGCCGACCTAACTCCGAGGGACTTCTCCTGGAAGAGCTGCAGGTGTTCGAGGTGAGGCTTCATCCCCAGTCACTCTAGGATACATCACCCCAACTCATTAAACGCTGATCCCATGTCCTGCCTCCCTTTCAGGGCTCTGCCACCATCACCAGCATGCAAATCTCCTCTAAAAGGGTGAGTAACTGAACTCTGAGGAGCACCACCAGCCAGCACCCCAATTGTCTCGCTTCTCCTTAGTCTTCACAGCCCAGAGTTCAGGAATAGCTTGTGCTTTGCTAGACAATGCGACCTCAGTGTTCGCATCCGTCAAGTGGGTAGAAGGCTGCCTGACGGAAGGGAGCCAGGTAAGGGCTACCCTCAATCAGACTGGAGTTCTTGTGCCCTCTAGCACCAGCTCTACGTAACATCACCGAGTGCGGTGGCCCAGATTGCATTGCATCGCTGCACTACCCTAGGCCGCGCCTGCGCAGAATGCTGCCTGGCCCGTGACCCTTACTGTGCTTGGGATGGATCAGCCTGCACACGCTTCCAGCCTACTGCCAAGAGGTGAGCTGGCATGGAGTCTGAATTGGGCCACTGTGGGGGGGGAGAGGAGGCGGCGGGGAGGGGGGGCAGGGTCACTAACTGCTTCGCCACCAGCTGAGAAGGGGTCACAGGTTTTAATACCTCCCTCCCTCAGGCGGTTCCGGAGGCAAGACATAAGGAATGGTGACCCTAGCACCCTGTGCTCTGGGGGTGAGTACCTCATCAGCTCCTACCCTCAGGCCTTGAAATTGCCACACCTAGCCCTACCTTGTCTGAATTTTACCCTCTTGTTTCAAGACTCCTCCCACCCAGCGCTGTTGGAGCGGAAGGTCTTAGGCGTGGAGAACGGCAGTGCGTTTCTGGAGTGTGAGCCCCGCTCGCTACAGGCGCAAGTGGAGTGGACCTTCCATCGTGCAGGGGAGGTGGCTCACACCCAGGTGTGCCTCCCTCCGCCCTTCCTAACCAGGCCCATCTAAGAGAAGCCATGCCCTGCCCAACGAGACCTGTGACTTGTACCTCACAGGAGTCCAGCTCAATGAGGCCCTGCAGTCAGATTCCTTACCTGTTCAGTCCTTAGTTGAACTCCACAGCCCAGTGATGCCCCCACTGTGTCCAACTAGACTCCTGACCCACCCACTACCTCTGAGGTTTCCTGTCTCCCTCAACCCGCATTCAGGTGACCCCTCTCACCCATCCTAAGGCTTACTACCCCTGCTCACCTAGCCTTAAGTGAGTATGGGCCACCATCTATGATTCCCATCTAGCTTTGGCCCCAAATGACCCTTTGCTTCTGTCCCTGCCCCCACACACACAGGTGCTGGCCGAGGAGCGACTTGAGCGGACAGCCCGAGGGCTGCTGCTGCGGAGGCTGCGGCGCCAGGACTCCGGCGTGTATCTGTGCGTCGCAGTCGAACAAGGTTTTTCACGGCCACTGTGTCGCCTGGTGCTACACGTGCTAAGTGCGGTGCAGGCCGAAAGACTGGCACGGGCTGAGGAGGCAGCAGCCCCTGCACCCCCAGGCCCTAAACTCTGGTACCGAGACTTCCTGCAGCTGGTGGAGCCAGGCGGCGGTGGAGGGGCGAACTCCTTGCGAATGTGCCGCCCGCAGCCTGGGCCCCGCCCGCAGCCTGGACCCCACTCTGTGGCAGCAGAGTCACGTCGGAAGGGTCGCAACAGGCGGATGCATGCCTCTGAGCTGCGTGCTGAGCGTGGGCCACGTAGTGCAGCACACTGGTGACTGGGCTGTCCCCACACCGGGGACCAGGCTGGATTTGACACTCAGAAGAGGGGGCAAACGCCAGAAAGACATAAGCGTTGTGGCTGGGGCACACTGAGGTCCTTGGGCCAATAGAGAGACACCTAACCCATAATACATAGGCCCTGGCCAAAGGGTAGCCGAGCCAGCTAAGTTGTTAACAAGATAACCTGCGAATGTAGCCTCAGAAGAGTAGTCCAGGCTTAATTCAGGTTCTAGCCTGCAGAGAGGGGACAGAGAAGTGGGGTTCCATAGTAGACCAGGGCCAGAGAACTGTCTTGAGTACCTGCCCTGGGGGAAGCATTCTTTCTTGGGCAGTGAGCAGAAAGCTATGAACAGATTAGGCTGTTGGGATCCAGGTGAGGCAGGCCAACTGTACTAAGTAATGCAATAAACACTTTATCAGCTGATGTTGGATTGGCCCCAGCAGATAACAGGTAGTCCTTGACCTTGCTGGGAGCCACGGGTGTCGTCCTAGCAGTCCAAAGGCCTAAATTTTTCTCATCTTAAATTGCCATTCTGCAGGGTGGTGGTGGCACTTACCTTTAATCCCAGCACTCTGGAGGCAGAGGCAGGCAGTTCTCTGTGAGTTCGAGGCCAGTCTGGTCTACAGAGCTAGTTCCAGGTCAGCCAGGGCTACACAGAGAAACCCTGTCTTGAAGGGGAAAAAAATTTGCTGTAGTAAAGATCCAAAGTGGTATTAGATGATCCCGCTGGCTCCAGAGAGCCTCCGGGGGTGCTGACATGCACAGTGCATTCTCCAACGATTAATGGCAGGCTAAGCTCTCTGATGGAAAAACAAACAGTACTGGATGTTGTGGGCAAGAATGTGTGCAGAACTCACTGAAGGGCTGACACTTGAGCTGAAAGATAAGAAGGAACCAGTCACAGGATGTCTGGTGGCAGAACATTCCAGGATGGAAGAACCAGTCCAAAGCCTTGGCGTGGGGAACAAACCTGCCAAATCTGAGGAACGTCAAGGAAGGCTAATACGATAGTGTGACGTGAGATGGATTCAGGATGTTTTGGAAGGTAGACCCCCCCTCCTAGCCTTGCTTTGCACAGTCGAGAAGAAGCAGAACACAGTTCATTTGCACACAGACTAAGGCCTGAAAACTGGACCAGCTTCCTTCCCTCCATAGTGAGCAGTGTACATCCTCACTCGCCCCCATGTGGCCTGTTAAGCCCTTGTGGAGAGGAGGGAGAGGGAGGATCAAGACTACTTTGTGCTAAATCCTTTAGTCATGTCTCTGCGTTTTTTATTCGCAGTACTCTTGGCTAGGACCCCTTGCTCCTGTTTTACACTCTCAAGGTTCTCTTTACCTAAGGCTAGTTTAATACTAGAAATACCAACTTCATCCCAGTCTGTCCACTGGTCAGCATGGGCGCTCACTCGTGGGGCTGCTGGATCCCTATGGCATTGTGCGTCATTGTCCACCACCCCCACTAGCTGGTCCTAGCTGGTCACACGGGTGGGTGCTGGAAGGAGATGGCTGGGCTGTGGGAGGGACGGCTGAGTGGAGACGTGCAGGGTTTCTTTCCTCAGAGCTACATGGCACATGCTGCATGCTGGCCTTCTGGATGAAAGCCCCAAAGCCTATGTGCGTATAGAGTTGGTATGGCCTTCAGTTCCCTGGGTCCGTGTGCTAGCTGACGCTTGCTCCTGGCTGAGCCCCATCCCCAAGCAGGTAGTCTAGGCCGACCCATCTGGGTCACTCTGCCCCTTTTCATGGCTCAGAGATGCCCCCTCTAAATATAGCCCAGGGAAGTGAGCTCAGGCCTATTTTAAGACCAAATTGGGAGGCCGGGCGGCCTTTCCCAGGATCCCAAAGGAGCCACTGCTGTCTTTGTCCAGTTCTGCTACTGGGCACTCTCATCGGGCCCCTGACTACCTATCAACGCCATGCCTGAGGAGACCCAAGAAGGTAGGAGAGGGTAGCCATGAGGGAGGGCAGGGCTTTGGACCCAGTACCTTATGGAGAAGCCCTCATTGCCTTGAGTAGTTTTTCCACACCCTGTTCTAGGGACCTACCCCTTTGCATTGATGAAGAATGGATCCGTCATACTTAGAGCTCCTCCCTTTCTCAGGTCCTGACTCAGTTTCCCCTGCTATGGGCCGTGGGGAGGGATTTGCAGCTCTCCACTTCAGAATGGGTACTATAGGCTTTATCCAAGTGGGTGTGGGCATCTGGGGAGCTGCCAAGCAGTTCAGCTCTTCCTTCAGCAAAAGAAGCAGGAACTGGGGTGCAAAGTGGTTCCAGGAAGCATTTCAACATCTGGCCCAGGGACTGGGAAGTTGCCAGGCCTCCGGTCTGCCCTACCTTGGGTTTAAATACCCTAAACTGGAGCGTCTCAGCCTAGTCGAGACTGACACTCTGCCAGTCAAGTGCCTTTACCTGCTAAGCCATCTGTGGTCCTCCATACTTTATACTGCAGAGAAAGGGCCTGCCCTCTTCTAAGGGGGGATGATTTAATTGTAACATCTACCATGTATTTTTTTTTTTTCTGTAGCAATACAATATGCTCAAATATAAAGTGCCAAGGGGGGGGGCTTAATGTGACCTGAGTCCATCAGCCAGGCCTAGGGACCGAGAGCACCTGTTTTTGTTTGAGTTGCTTGTGAGCATGTCAAGGGGCAGCTTCAAGCACATTAGCGGGCCCAAATTTCCCTTACCCAGTGTCCTGCCACACTGTTACCTAGCGCCCCCCCCGCCCCCGCAGCATCCGAAGTTCTGGTGGAGCAGAAGAACTAAAACCAAACCAAACCCAATCGAAGGCATTGGTGGTGCACACTTGGGAGGCAGAGGCAGGAGGACCTCTGAGTTCAAGGCCAGCCTGCTCTACATAACGAGTTCTAGGCTAGCCAGTGCTACATAGTGACACCCTGTTTCAAAATAATGAATATCCAGTCACATAACACCAGGAGAAAGTGTAGTTATAGTTACTTAGAAATTATAAATATTTTGATAGTAACTGGAAGGCTGGAGTAGAGAGATAACTTGAGTTAACCAGGAACTCAAGACCAGTCTGGGAACTTTCTGAGCCCATCTCAAACAAAAGGGGAAGGAGGAAGAGATTAGAAACATTTGCTGTGATTAAAAACATTTGCTGCATAACCTTGAAGATTGGAGTTTGTGGTGGCTCACGCCTTCCCTTTAATCACAGCACTCAGTAGGTAGAGGCAGGAGGATCTCTGCGAGTTCGAGGCCAGCCTGGTTTACAGAGTGAGATGGAGAAACCTGTCTTTAAAAACCAAAACCAAAAAACAAGAGTTCAGATCTCAGTACCCACCCACATAACAAGCTAGGTGTGGTCTTGTGTACCTTATAACTCCAGTGCTGTGTATACTGGGAAGTGGAGGATCGCTGGGGCTTCCTGGTTGTCAGCTTCCCTAATCAAAAAAGCAAAACCTGATCTCCAGCCTCATGAAGAGACCCTGCCTCAAAGGAATAAGGCAGAGAATAGACAAGGACACCCAAGGTCCTCCTCTGCTCTCTACACGTCTGCACAAGGGTCTAAACACACGTGGGTATCCACTACACACACACCACTAACACAACACAAAGCCGGTATAGTGATACACACATGAAATACCAATAATGGGTAGGCTGAGGCAAGAGAATTTTTTTTTTTTTTTTTTGGTTTTTTTGAGACAGGGTTTCTCTGTGGCTTTGGAGCCTGTCCTGGAACTAGCTCTGTAGACCAGGCTGGTCTCGAACTCACAGAGATCCGCCTGCCTCTGCCTCCCGAGTGCTGGGATTAAAGGCGTGCGCCACCACCGCCCGGCGAGGCAAGAGAATTTTGAGAGTAAGCCCATCCTACCATAGGCTACTTGATGAGTTCCAAGCCAGCAAAGGTCACATAGTGAGACACTATCTCAAAAACAAAATCTGAATAAAACCATTAGGGAACCATAGAGTCAGTGACTAGATGCACAGAACCTGTGGAAGGGTAATTGACACTCATTATTCAGGACCCCTAGGCAAAGGCAAGCTGTTTCTCATCTCTCAAGTTAGCAAATATGTCAAGGTCTGCACATCCAGAGTCTGGTCTAACTCAGAAAAAACTTGCAAGCACGGAGGACCTACCTGAGTTCATTTCTCGGGAGCCCATGACGTGCTCACAAGCAAAAGTCAGCAAAAGGCAGACTGTAGGTCATCTCAGCTCTGGCGAGGTGGAGACAGAAGCGGGGCGGGGGGGGGGGGGGGTCTGCAGTTAGTGAGCCTGGCCTGTTGAGTTCCTATGCCAGGTCTGAGACCTCTGGCTTCCACGTGCACACGCATCCATTTCCCCCCCAGCGGGATGCCTAGTGGTGATGCTGTACTGCTGGGCTCTGGACCAGATTTCAGAAGACAGGCTAACGACAGCTTTACAGTCTGTCCTCAGGCCCAGTGACTCCACTTCTGAGAATTGTCCTCAATGACTTTCAGGAAAGTGGGGAAAATCTTCATATTTAATCATTGAAGTCCTGGGGGTTAATTTCCAAAGGGAATTGGAAACAACCTAAATGCCCAGATAACCTCAGAGGGAGGCTGGAAGGAGTCCTCAGATTTATATGAAACTGATAAGAAAAAATGGGGGCTCCCGCAGTGCTGTTGAGTGAAAACAGCAGGGCTCCAGGAAGAGCAGCCGAACCACTGTCTGGTCAGGAAGGCAGTTGCTTTGCCTAGGAGTAGGTGCCCTGTCATCAGGTCAGCACCGATGGCAAACTCGCTGTTGCTGTGGGCTTAGGTTGGTGAACTATTTGCTGGTAGTGAACAGGCGGAGGAATGCCTGACCGTGAACATGGGAACATGTCAAGACCCCTATACATGGACTAGGCCTTTGGAACCCTACATCAAAACTGAGTCCTTCCTGAACTTGTAGGGAATTTGGAACCAAAGGCCACTGGTGTAGTTTCCATATGTCCCAAGTCCCTGCAGCCTGAGTTTACCTATACGGTAAGGAGTGACTGGCTTGCTCAAATCAGTCCCACTGCCCCCTACAGACACTGTGTTGCCAATGCAGAACCAGAGGAGCAGGGGAACACTGGCTCCTAACCATGTGCAGGAGGTATGTCTGCACCGAGTGGAGTCCATCAGTGACCTACACAGTGGAGGTAAGGATGCAAAGGTGGGGGGGGATGGATGCTCTGGGTACCACCTTCCTGATAAACCATCTTCCCTGCAGGTTCACTCCAGCCCTATCTGGTTGAAGAGACACAAACGTGGGAAGAGCTTCTGGGTGTCTTGCCGTCATCAATGTGTACCCAAGCTGATTGCAGCCCCATGTGTGGCCGTGGGGGGTTCCTACTGCTATTGGCACTGCTAGTATTCACCTGCCTGGCATTAGCCATCCTGGCTGTCTACCTAAGTGGTAGGGACAAGCAGGGCTGGAAACCCAGGGCACCTGCAAATGCAGCAATAAAGGGTGGGGCAGGGGTCAGTGGGCAACCCCTGATGCTGGGCTGGTTGGAGATTTGGAATGGCAAGCCTGACAAGGTCCCACAAATGTCTTCCCATCCCCAGTGCTGCAGAGCGAATCCCTGAGGGTCTTGGCACACACACTGCGCACACAAGAGGAGTCGCTGCTCAAATTGCGCCTGGCTAGCCTCAGTCAGCTAAGGAGGCTCAACTCCAGCGAAGCTCGGGCACCCAGCTGAGATGCCATTGTATGAGGGGGAGATAAAGGGAACTTTGGCAGGTCTGTTCTCCCACTGATGGCTAGCGACATCTACACTACTTCCTTAGTGAGATTTCTGTACAAGAGCCTGACATGACTCAAGAGCTTCCGTCTGTCTTGACCTCTTCAGGTTAGGCCTGATCAAGCCTTCTGGTGCCAAGGCTCTCCTTTGGATAGCCAAAGGTCAGAGGATGGGGCACCAGCCGCCTCCTGGCTCCTCCTATGGCCTGTCAGCACCCTTTGGCCACCCCCAGATAGCAGATTCAGAAGTCTAGAAATAGCTGTCCTGCTTGGCCACCCACTCTGCCAGGCCTCCTAGTGGGGGGTCCAGTCTCAGTTCTCAGACAGGCTAGGCTGAGTTGGGGGTGGGGACCATGCAGGCAGACTGCCTTGGAGGGCAAAGATGAAATAGAGATCTAGCTGGGGCCAAGCCTAGGGTGGGAGAGGAGGGGGAAGGCCAGCAAAGGACTCAGGATAAAGGTCACAGGGAACAAGTATGGTTTAATACTCTGTCATTTTTAAAAATCAGCACACACATTCATTCTAGGTAGCTTTGCCTACCTTATGCCACTGTGGACAGGAG